CAGGCAAGTCACTCATGATGTTCATGTTATGAGAGTGCAAGGAAACAAAAAGATAGATATTTTAAATTTTTTCATAATAGCTTTGTCTGCAGGTTTGGAATCATTATTTAAAAAATATATAGCTTTGCGCTACAGGTAAGGGAAAGCCAGGCTGTGTTCAGGTCAGCCTAGCTGTGCCTCAGCTTTTTACAGTGGCAGTCTTGCAGGCTGACTCTCTCTGAAGATAATGGCTCCCCCTTTCCCCACCAAGACACTGCATACAACTACTGACTACACCGCTCCTAACCTGGAAAGCTAGAGTGCTAATTTTTTAGCCCTGCTCAGGGATGAAATATTTGAATTTGGAGCCTGTAATGGAAGGAAGCTAATTTGGGGAGTGGGGAGGGATTCTCTCTTTTCTCTTTTCATAGTGAAGAACTGCACATATCCAAAATGAAGGGCTGTTTTTTGAAATTATGGGCTTTTTTTACATATTTACTTCTCTTTCCCTTTCATTTGTGAAAGAATTTTAAGTTTTGATTTACTAGAACTTTCCACCATTTTCCTTCTTGGTGGAAGACAGCTTTTCCACCTAACATCTAATGAAATTCAAAAGTAGTTATTTAACCCAATGTTACTAATAATCATTTATATCTAAGCCAAGCAACTGCAGTTTTAAAGAAAAATGTCCAATATAGTCTTCTACATTCACTTTACAGTCATATCTGCAGCCATAATATATTTACAGGGAATCAGTTGCAATACAATAAGGACGCATACAAAAATTTCCAATATGACATTTTATGTAAGATTTTCATATGTAAAAAAAATCATATTCACTAATTTAAAAGAAAATACTGAGTATATTTCAGCAATGGTCTGAGAGGGATTTCCTCCCTTTTTTTTTATTTTTTTCCTCTTTTTTCTTGGTGTTGCTAAGAGCACATACTAATAAAAATATAGAGAAGATCCTGATTTGGTGGGATATTTGTTGAAATCTGTGAAGGGTGTGTGAAAAGAGCATGTGCCTGCTTTTTTAAAAAAAAAAAAAAAAAAAAAAAAACAAACATGTGACCTGATCATGTGGAAATTGTTAGTCCAGTTCTTTAGTTCTGTGAGGAGAGTGAGAAATAATGTGAAGTTACAGTGAACCCATCTGGCCAAGCAGGAAAATCCGGTTTAATTGCTTCATTGCCAGAAGTGTTAAATCACTTCCTGGGAATGCAATTCATTTGGAACATATGGAACTCGTTGGAAGAAGGTCTCCAGTGAATTCAAAACTGTGCTGGAGATGAGAGCATTTCTCATAAGTAACAATCATGTTTTCCCACTGGGCAGCATGTAAGCAGTATGTGTAGCTGTATTAACGAAAAACTAAACCAATAGTAGGACTGTCTGAGATCTTGTTGAACAAGATTTGCTTGTGGTTTACTTTATTTTAAATTTTCAAGAAATGCTGTGTTCCTTTAGAATTTTTTTCCTCAGCTTTTAAGCAGCAGTAGAACATACTGACAGAACATCTTGATTCAGCAGAATTACACTGTGATTAGTAAACAGACATATTTGAAAGTATCATCCAAGATGTCTTTGTATTTTGTGGATAAAAAGAGTAGGCTTTTTGTTTGTTTTTTTAATCAAGGACTTTGCATTAACTATATATTTTAATAAAATAGGAAGATTTTTAATTTTTCTGTAAACTAAACAAATCTAAACCTTTGACTAAAAAGATTATATATGTATGGGTTCTCTTTAAATTGTAGAGAATTAGTGAGTAGGACTTGCTGCTTTATATATATTATTTTAAGGAAAACATCTCTCAAAAGTGTTATAATGGATTCAGGATTTATAAGTATGCTACAGTACCACGTTCTGAGTCAAGCATTTGTGTTATTTGAAGTCTACACTGAGAAGATTGTTATTTGGAAAAAATATGCTTCCTATTCTCTTCTAAAGAAAAGACTTTATTTTCATTAATTTGATGCTACTGTAAGAGGTTTTTTAGAGATCTTTTCTTTTTTTTAATTGGGTTCACATAAATCCGAGAAAATATTTGGGTTTTGGAAAATACTATACTTTTCTTCTTGTGCAGTTAATCAGTAAGACAAAAACAGAGAAAATTAGTCCTTCTAATTTTAAAAGCACGTAAAGGAAATGGAACCATGTTTTGCTGAAAAAGTGGGCTAAGTCTGATGTCAGGAAGGAAAAGTGAAGCAATAAAAGGAAATCTCTATATTGACATAATGCATTATGAGGATGAGGCACTTGGGGTAGTGAAAATTGGTGGTGACAGGTAGTCACCACCATAGGAAGCCCTTCTCCTAATTATTCTAGTAAAACTTATATACTTTGTGATGCTATTATTTTGAATGTATTTCTTTATCTCAGTGCTCTAGTATTTTTTTTTCCCATGCACCTTGACTTGATTTTAAAATTCTTACTTTTGGTAATTTGCGTAATCCACATTGGTTCTCTCTAACATCAGTTTTAATTAATTGCTGCAAGATTACTGTAGGAATGTAGGAAGTCCTTCTCTCTGTAAACCTCACTGTGCCTTTAAATTTTCTGGAACTTATAGTGCTTCTTCATTCTACTTAAAAGAAGTACTAATTTTGTGACTTACACATCTGTGCTGAGGCATTATAGTTCTGTGTATTTCCAGCTACAGCTTTTTATCTGCGTTAAACCCGCTATACAACTCCAACAACTTCTGAAACTACCATCTAACAAATATACTAAAATGTTTGGTTGGTTGTAAATCAGCATGTTTTAGTGATCATCAATTAGAAATATATTTCCAGGAAATAACTTGAATTTACAAATGGCAAGATTAACAGTGTTTTAAAATCTGATATACTGATATGAAAAAACAATCTGCATGAGGATATGAATGATGACAGGACCTGATTCAGAAGTGGTTTTTTAGGCCAAAGTCACTACCAATGACTAGCACTGCAGTTACGGACAACATGATTAAAGTCTATTTAAGTCTTTTGTAAAGTCACCAGAGAAATTATCTTCCATACTTGTCATTCTGTCACATCCCCACTGAGTCCTGTAACTGCTTCCCCCCAGTTCGGTGAATAACAGCTGTTCATCTTGGCCTTGCACGTTAGACCTCACAAAGGCTGTCCCTGTCAAACTGCTATCTCTTTTCCACAACACATCTTATGATTTCAATGTTGACACTGCTTGTTGCCACATCTCCAGTCATCTCTATGTTATCTTCTAAGCTTTTCTTAAAGGAACCCATCACACCTTCTTTGTTTTGTTTTGTTTTGTTTTGTTTTTCCATAGGTAACAAAACTCAACATTAAAATGTGATAATAACCTGTGCCTATCTTTCCTTCTTTTGTCTTACCCTTCCATTCGATTTGCACTAGTGTTCCCTTGGTCTTTTTTCTTCTATTTGGTTTTCTTTTCCTGTTTGTTTGCTTGTTTCTCACCACCTCCCCTTTACAGAGTTCTCTCTTTACAAATTTCCTTCTCAGACAAATGATAATAGTGAATCTGGGGGTTTCTTTCTTATTTTTCTCAGCCAGTGTAACCACTTAGGTCTGGGAAAGAGAAGAAAATTATATATTGGTTTTCAAAATACTATCAATTATTTTTTTTTTTTTAATCTATAAATAATACACTTTTTCTTTCTTTGCAGCCAATACCTTGATTCATTCTGTGATTTTACTGCTTTTTTGGCATGTTAACTTTCTTCAGTCTATGGAAGTTAATGCCTTTGTTGCATTACTGGACCAAAATGGTGCTTCTTCCAAACAAAAATATGTTTGTAAAAAGCAAGGGAAATGCTTTCCAAGAAACAGGCTGCTGTTGTTTTGACTAATATTTGTTTGATAATATGGCGTTTTTGAATCTCAGACTCAAGCAACAGATATTTAACTAGTCAGAGTACGGGTGAAACAGAAAGAATCACAAAAAGATCCTTATGGCTATTATCGACCTGCAAAGTACCTATTAATATATATTGTCTAAAACATGGCCTATTTGAAATTTTGTACAAAATATCATCCAGGAAATGGTATAAAATACTGTTTTATATAGCAGGACAAATAAAATCCTGAAATTAAATTTTCAGTCTATTTCAGGAACTCTATAGAAAGTTTGAAACTGATGTTTTGTAATTTCTGTCCATTACTGCCCTCTTTTCTTTTTTTTTTTTTTTTTTCTGTGAAATTTACAGCAGGAAAATCTGCTGAGCTAGACTGACACAACTGAAAGGGATGTAAAATTTACAATCTAACTCTGCGTATATTGCATACCAAATCCTATTTCTCATCCTACCTTTCTTACCCTTATCATATCTGCACATTCTTTAACTTTGTTTATATGTGTGCCATACAAATTCCATTTTACTATTATTTCAATATATAACCTATTTATTTCAGGAAAAATACACTCAGAAAGTTCTTCTGCATTAGTCTGAAAGAAAAGCATAATATAAAAGATTTTTACATCCATTGCAACAAAACAATTTTCTAAGTCCAAAACCAATTACAGTCAATATGAAAGTAGTTCTATTACATGTCTCTGAAAAATTACATAAAAAGTAAGAAATTGGTATGTTATACAACAACATACATTTGACTCCGAGTTCTAACTATATGGAGTGAATGTCAGAACTTTACTTGAGTTCTGCAAAAGACAAATTTGGCATTTTAGTCTCATCTTCAGCCACAGAGTTTTTGTCTTCAATCCTTCAGAATTATTTAGTAATTTCCCAGTGGAATTTGTGGGCATGTATTCTAGGATGATTATTTCAAAATGCAATCATTGGAATATCTTATTAACTCCATGTCCTCCTTTCTCTCTGAAACAGTAATTAGTTTCATAATAGATTATAAGACACTCAAATGGGAACTGTATGTTTCTCTCCAGAATACTTGACACAGTGAGACCTCAGTTCTTTCCAGACCTTCTGGACACTCATAAAATCTACCTTAAGATTTTGTAATGTTTCCCTAATACTCTTAATTTTTTTAATATGGTATCATTTATTTTTTTTCTTTCAGGCTATGCCAGTTATTTCAGAGAAGGAGAAGGCTGGTGAGTAAATATTTACTTGTTTTCTCATTTCCTTGTATTTGTTTTGTGGAATATAGTGTTACTTAACTAAGTGATAAAAGACAGGCTTCAGCTGTGGGATTTTGAACGTGTAGGATTACAGACCTGACAAATGCTTGTGTAAAGGATATTCATTGTTTCTTGAACAGGATATTTTCTCTTACTGAAAAGCAGTACCGCTTTCCGTGTGATACTAATAAAAGATATTTGAAACTATCTTACAAAGTACCAGGTTGAATTGCAGCTGCCCCTTACATGTCAGTCTTCCTCTAGATTCTAACTTGTTACTTGGTTTTAAAATCTATTTTGATTTATCTGATGTCTCGATTAATAAACACGAATGCCAATGGGTTTGTTCAAGTCAGTGGAATTTGGTGACTTAATGTGAACTTTACTGTCTGTCTTTAAGTACAGCAGGAAATTTCTGTTATCTGGAGTATTTCACTGGAGATAATTTTTATTTTGGCTAAGTACTTACAGAATATTGAAAGGTTGTTTTTCTATTCTTTTCTGTTATATTTGTTCTCTGCACACTGTACGTACTTTGGTGTTGGTATGTGAAATCTACTAGTGATTGTCTGCATGACACTGTCAAATGGGTGTATTGTCATAAACACTAGGGAACACTCTACTCTTATCGCTGTAGATCTCTAGAATCTCTGATGGTTTCTTTGTCATTTATTTTAATTGATAGGTTACTATTATACTTCAAATATAGCTTGAAAAATACCTTGAAATATCCAAATGTCACTTAGCATTCTAATTTATGTCTGGTTTTTGTTGGTGACATTTTATTGCTTTATACTGCTTCAGATTATTTATTTTCTTTTCTTCTGCTTATTAAGGGAGAGGAATAGCTTAAAAAAAAAGGTTTTGAGAGAAAAGCCACTGTGCTAATCAGTATTGTAAAAGCTATGGAGCTGACTGGTCAGGATGTTGCTATTTTAACTGTTGAAGTTCATAAATAATTCCCAAACTGTGATCCATATTTAATAAGAATTTCCTTTATAGATTTCGCAGGTGGTATTATTCGGTATTTCTTTTTCTGAGGTAGTTCATATTTGGCTACATCCTTTAAATTGTGTCTAAACATGCAAACTGATTATAACTGACCCTACTGTTTGCAGATAATTTCAAATACTTTGTCAAGAAGCCATGCAACTTTATAGGTTTTTGTATATCTTTAGCAGTTATGTATCATACAAGGTTAAAAGCTATTTGAAAGTCATTAAAAAATCTCAGGGCACAGAGATGTAATGACCACAGTTTTATAGTAGAGGAATAGAGCTGCAACAAGTAATTGCCATAGATAACAGCTCTCAAAATCAAAAATAAAACTCCAATAAATCTCTATACTTACTTCTTCAATGTCCAAACTACCTATCATGTCAGTGTTTATGATAGTATGAAATAAAGATATTTCTGACATATACTTTATAACCTGTACATATGCATATGAATCTGTCTCTCTCTTCCTTAGTCCTGCCCAAACTTCAGTGTTATGTTTTTGTGGACAGCATTATGTTTAATATAACAAATATTAGGTGGACCTTCATGCCATATGAAGTCAGTTTGGTGACATTTCCACGTACATGAGCACAAGCTAGACTGTGAATGGAAATGCGGTTGACTTTTAATCAGTTTGGTTTTTGTTTAACTCTTTGTAGCTTGGGAGTTCATGAAATTACAATGTTTTTTGGAAATATTAAGCATGCACTATGGAGATGATTATTTAAATCAGGCCTATTGACTGAAGCCACTTGGTTCTAGGGGTAGTTAGTGCTATCGTTTTTAAAATGTATTTGGATCTTGATTCAGACATTCAAGTCTCCTGTTTTCAATTTACCTAGCTGTTGTTTGATCATTGCTGCTTATACTTCAACAGATGAATGATATTACATAAGACTCATGAATGACAAAGCCATAAGTAAGGTGTGAAAGCCTCCAAAAAAGAATATATCATATTTGCACGTCTTCTTTAAGAGAACAAAACAAATACTAATTTTGACTTTTGGAAATACCAACCATCTAACTCTTTCTAGTTTACATTATTACAAACAAGCTAAAATATATTACAAAATATTACAGAACAAAAAGAAGGAGTTGTTTATTTTACTGTTGACAATGTTAATAACACAGTAGGTAGAGAGATTTGAGAGCATTGTGCTAAAACTAAATTTGGATTAAAAATGTACTCAAAATATCTATGCAAACATCTTTTCTCATTTTGAGAACTTGAAGTAATAACTTCTTGTAGCTCCCTCTTTCCTACTTAATATTATTTGGTTTCATCTGGGACTGGAATGAGAAACAGAAGAAAGTAGAAAGGCCATTTCAATGTTTCTTGTTCAGAAATTCTATATAGATAAATAAAAACCTGTTTTTACAAGACTTTCTATTCTGTAGATTCCAGATACTTTGTTACTTTCAAATGTTTTTCCTATGGGCAACTTAACATTTAGGTCCTTAAATGGACCAAGCTGTTTAAGCAACTTGAAAGTTCACACATTACTGATTATGTTTATAGCAGTTAATCCTTGAAATTAAATATTTTCTCAATTTTATATATTTTCCAACACGCAGTAAATTTGACTACATCAAATACAAACTTTCAGATGGAGTACTTAAAAAAACAAAACAAAACCACGCACTATTTTTAGATTTAGAGCAAAGCCAATCATAATCTGAAAACTTTGCTACTTTTGTCAATTAATAGCTCAAGTTGCATAACCAGTTATTTTAAAATTTTTTACAGTGGAAAGTGCAGTAAAAACTGTGGTTGCAGAGTCCTTTTGGCAAAAATCTAGAAATGATCAGTGTATTGAGCAGAACATCAGTCATACCTGTGTACACTGTTGCTTCAGGTTGTGTGAGTTAAGGCATTGCAAATGGTGAACTGTGGTATCAGCTATCTCTCAGAAATGCGTTTTTAAGAAGTCTCAATATTGTTGACATTTCTAGCAATGGTGAAAAAACCCAAATCTTTCAAAAGAACTTTTTTAAGGTAGAAGATCAAGCAACTTGCACAGTCTGGGAAAATGGTGGCTCAAGCCAAGAGATGACTCAATGCTGGGACTACTGGCACCTAAATCAGGAATGCAGGCCAGCAACCAGCTTCAAAAGACTGTTTTTTCAGATGCATCCATCTTTTTAGTAATTTATGTATTCCATGTCTTTACTTACCTTGCTGACTGTTGTGATTTTTATTCTCAAATTCTGTCCACAAACTCTGAAGAAATTTGAGGTATGGAGGGTTCATCTCACCTGTCAATAATGAAGGTGTCTGTTAGTGGTGTTGGTTTCATTTGTAGTCTAAAAATAATCAGCATATGAACTTTTGGTTCACCTGGCTATAGGTCAGATTTGGTTTACTGATGTGAATCAGACTTCATGAATGGTATTGATTAACTCTCCACTAACTGCAGAGTCAAGATGGCTCCTAACACAGATACCAATATTTAGTAGGATGAATCCACTGCGAGTTTCCTAATTCAGGGCCAACTTCAGTTTCTGGAGCAGTGTTCCCAAAATAAACTTAGAAGTATTGCCTAAGTCTCTTTGTGGACCTACTTCATGATTTCCCAATTTATCCTCAAATATTTGTAGGGAATAGTGAACTCTGTGACTTAGAAACATTGTTACAACTGAGCCAGCGGGAGAGGTAGCGTGAACATCCACATCTGGTCAGGGACTAGCATAGCTTATTTCTCTTGAGGTGATGAAACTATGTGCTATCACATAAACAGGGCAGAAGGTTTAGTCTAGCTCTAAATAAATATTAAATAAATATTAACACCATTGCTCCATAATGTTCAGCATTATAATAAATAAATTTTTCCTGTGCATAAAACAACTGCCCTGTGGTATTTTGGTTGAACACACATTTATAAGAGTTGGTGCTCTAAAAATAAAATAAGGTGGTTTTAAGTCATTGAATACTACATTGCAGTTATTAAGTACAAACTTAGGTCAATTAAAAAACACAGAACATATTACTTGATATAAAAATGCAAGTGACACTACTCATCTGTAGAAGTAAAAATTCCCTAGCAGAGTAGCTAGTGAACATGCTTTCAAGAGCTTTCATGATTCTACCAAAGTATTTGCCCTTGTGTTAAAGACATACTATGATAAAAGTGCACAACCTCTTTGGGTAAATCTCGGTGCTCTAACTAGTAGGTTAGAGAGGTCTACATCAGCACAAATAAAAGTATCAGTCTTTGACATGGAGTAGAACAGATTTGATAGCCCATTTTTCGTCTGTGTTTTGGTCATCAACAAGCAAACAAGAGGATAACTTATTAAGCACAGTCGAAGACAGCAGCCTTATGGGATCTCTGGACAATGTAAAGTGTTTGAAAGCTCCACAGTGTTAGTATTACAATATGGACCTTGAAGTGAACAAGCCTCATTTTTTTTCTTCATCTCCTCTAGATTTCTGGTAAAGATACTATTTAATAAAGTACAGGCTCAATGTCCTTTGGTGTTAATTTCCCTGGTTGACTTTGATTCACAAGGAAGGCAAATACACAGACCATTAAAGGGACCTTAACGGCAGGGTGTTTCCTCTCACAGACTCGGTGAATGTCGGTGTCAGACAGGGAAGGACACTTGGTGCTTGGCCCCATGGTGAGATGAGCTGCAGAACAGGAGGTGATGGAGTGATGACAAGGCAAGTCGGGCCGTCTGTGAGAAGTCCCAGCGGGAGGACCTTGAAAATCCAGTAGCGACAGGTTCACTGTCATTAAACGAGGCACATAAAAGACCAACTGCTTGGCATACTACGTAGAGCTCTTTTACTTTCATTTAATTTAACTTCAGCTCTAAGCAAAAAGGAAGAAAATAAAATCTGCACTAGATTTTACAAACATGTTTTAGATCCAGATAAATCAGTTCTTTCTATGAGCAGCATCCACTGGTTGTTCTGTTTTCATAAAGTCATTAAATGTTCATCCATACATAACTTATTTTGAACCTAGAGC